CGCAGGTCTACATCGGCGTATGGAATAACGTGACGCCCACTTTGAACCTATCCTTCATATTAGCGTTTTTAAATGAATTTTATAGGTAAAATATCTGGACACGATGTTGATATTACTCTATATAAAGCTGCTGTTCCCACTCACTCTGCCCCCCCTAGATAAAAATTGGCCGAAGCGATTTCCTTTAAAATTGGTACACGCTTAGCTATTGTGATGAGGAGTTGATTAAAATTATTCCCATTCAAATCCGCTGCCTAGGACGCCCGCAAGAGCGAAAAGTTATTTTTCCGTATAGTATTACATTGGAGATATGCGGTTGTTTACGCGCATCGCGCCGAACAGGTTCAATCCTGTTGCGTGACGTCACTGCCTTATAGACGAAATGTAAGGTTTTAAGAGGTATTTTTCGACGAATGTTTGTGGAAATTGGTCAGCGGGGGTATTTTTCAACGGGGATTTCGAATTTTTGGTCGGATTTTCAAAATTTCAAAATCCAAGATGGCGGCCGTGGCCTAAAATGCTAAGTTGGCTCCTGTTGGATCGATTTTCGTGAAACTCGGTATTAGGGGGTATATTTCGACGGGAAATTAGAATTTAAGGTCCGATTTTCAAAATTCAAAAATCCAAGATGACGAACGTGGTCTAAATTGCTATCTAGGCTTCCGATCCATCGATTTTTGTGAAATTCGGTATTAGGAGGTGTATTTCGACGGAAAACTCGCATTTTTGGTCGGATTTTCANGTTCAGCTTAATTTTACGGTATATAATTTTCCCGACTTACGTCCGAATTTAGAGATTAGGTTTCGCAATAAAATAGGGGGTTTTCAAGGTTAAAAGCTCCCATTAAATTTTGCCACACAAGCTATGAGCCCACCGGTGAGAGAAAATAGTTATCTATGTGAGAATCATACATTTGTATCGTTCCTCTCCTTTAACTTTGATACAACCAATACACAATGCGTAACCTATTAGCAGGTACTTATTGGCTTCCTCAGAGTCGCCTTTAATTTCGGCGTGTAGGCAACGAATACGCTGGTGAGCGAAAATAGTTATATATTCGTAAAAACACATTTTCATCGCGATTAGACTGATAAACGATGTTACTTATTGGTAGGTTTCGTCAATTTTAAGTTCACCGTCAATGGATCAGTTGCACTGGTCACAGGATCGTGCATCTATACTTAATATTTTTAGATTAGCCAACACTAATAAGACCTATCCAATTAGCACTTTTTACGTTGAATCTTAACCGAGATATCGCGCTTTCAAAAATTCGGTTTATGACGTCATCTACTACGGTAGTGACACCTTTGGTTTCTTTCACCTTGTTTTCATTAACCAATGGGACACACATTTGCACTGCGGTTACTTAACGTGACTCTCGGACTGAAGGAATGTGGAAGATACCGAGGGTGTCTTTACCGCGGTGGATGACGTCATAAACCGAATTTTTTAAGGCGCGATATCTCGGTTAATATTGAACGTAGAAAGTTGCTGTTGGACACATCTTACTATTTTTCGCTAATTTACAAAAATCAAGCATAAAAACGAGATTCTATGACCAGCGCAACTGACCCATTCCGCTGCAAAGGCAACAAACCTGCAGATTTTTGTCCGATCGAAGAACGAGCATTCATCTCACTCAGTACGCATTGGTTGAATAAGACTTTTCGAGGAACGTGATTTTCAGAGGGAGGTGAGTTCAGTTCATGAAACTGAATTTCCACTTCTCGCCCAACCTGAGTTAATGTCAATAATCCATATCGAGAATTGTAGGTAAGAGTATGTCATCGCAAATTTTTATTAAAGTACGCAGAAAAAATGTGTCTCATAAATGATTTGCGTTCAATTTTTGTTCTCCATCGGCGTTAGGGGCCGTTTATTAAAATATGTAACATTGAAAATTGGATTCCCCCCCCCCCCTTTCCTCTCGTGACGTACCCATAACGCAGGTCTACATCGGCGTATGGAATAACGTGATGCCCAGTTTGAACTTATCTTTCATATTAGCGTTTTTAAATGAATTGTATAGGTAAAATATCTGGACACGATGTTGATATTTTGTATTAAAATTAGGATAAATCGGCGCTACGCTTCCATTCCTGCGTTATGTAACGTAGTCTGAAACCTCCCTGTAATGCATTCCTGACGCATGCTCAAGCCTCCTCCTCTACAAGGGTGAGTATTGAGTAAGCGCAGCGTTACGCATTTTATGAACGGCCTCTAATGAGATTGAAATTTTATGATTTCAATTAACACCGTAATGAATTATTCCTTTTTTGCACGTCGAGATTGAATTTGAACTGTCAATCATCAAATGAGAGGCTTGGAGGACATGGCCCATAGGTGTAGTTTTTACAATTTCGAGGAATACGCGTTTGAACTGTTCAAATTACATGGATCCTCGAAAAAAGTCCATTAAAACGCTTTAAAATTGGAAATTGGAATTTGGGAGCGAATTTTTCAAACGATATGCATTGAGACTGGTCTAACTTAAAATCATTAGTATCTCAATGTTTTCAAAACTTGTACTTATGCGCCTTGTCCTCCAATCCCCTCAAATGCAAAAAGCTGCGCGATGGTTGACGCATATTGCGTGACATTTTCCCTTCGTATCGGTGCGAGGAAAATATGAAAATTGGTGTCTGCGAACCTAGACACTCTGCCGTTTTGTTTATATGCGCAGTTGCGTTCACAGTGGTAATTCAAAATTCGAGGTAAAATGCTCTCTGCAAAAAATGTATCACACACATGTATCTCATACTACATCACAAGACTGTCAGTCAAATGTCAAAGTGCACGTGAGAGTGGGGCCCCTTTTTGAGAGTGTGGGTTTCAAAAAAAGAGAAGAGTGTCATACTGTGTTCGATCAAAAGTCTCGAAATTCGATTGGAGGGAGACAAAAAGAGGAACAAATCCTGGGCTGAGCCTTTACTGATCTTTGGATAAATTTTGCTCTCATGCCGAGAGTATTCAATTCTAGTTAATTATACAAGCTGCTTTTCACCGTAAATTCAACATATTTATTCTTTGATTTTATTCTTTGAGATCACATTGAACAAAATCACACCAGGAATGACCTTAAAATCACCACACGCGTAAAAAACCTCAGTTTGACAGACCGATAGTTCAGTAAGTTCTTTTTGATTCAGAGCTGAGCACTCAGCGAATGAATTGGAAATCTTAAGCGTTTAAACGAGGAAAATGGAAAATAATTGTTAACAAGGTAAGACAATACATGGACACACACAACCATTTTAATCGATTTGACGTCGTGCAGGTTCGGTGAATAGGATATACATAACACACTGATCATAGATAGATACAAACGACTGCACGTTGATTTTATACTAGAACCAAAGACAACACTTTTGGTGGGAGGAGAAGAAATTCAACCTTTACTATGATACAGAATCTTACTAACTAATACAGTCAAATATAAAATCCTTTTTAATTATCTCAGAGATCAAATGAAATAATCAAATTATGGATATCAAGCAATTTAATGCTTTAAAACCGCATAATTTAGAACTTTTCCTAAAGTTGAGATTCATGAATTTTTACGCGAAGGTGACATGCCAAAAAGAGCTAATTTTTCGATTACTGATAAGTACCTTCAAATTAATAGGGAGAGAATTAAAACATGGGTAAATAAAGCTAAAACATTAAATAGGCAACATTATTCGGGCTATATTTACGTGCTTTCACGATCAAATGTAAAGTAACATCCGACTTTAAAAACTTCGAACGGAGGATTGAGTTTGCGCCTTTGTTGTCAATTTGAATCTACATATCGATGGTCAACGTGCGAATTCACGTATGTCCGTCTGCAACGTTGCAGACTTTCTATCAGACCCTGCTTTTTATTTGGAAAGCAAGTCAACGCAATTTCTTGAAAACTTCCTTAATTTATATTTTCCGTCAGTAGAAAGCTACAAATTTGGGTTGTTTCCCCTGATAAAAATTGGCGATAGGAGCTGCGTTTCAAAATACCACGGGAGTTCTTATAGCCGACTGAAGAAGGCGATAGGAAATCATATAGCTGGCTGTAGAAAGTGGAAAAATCATACGGCCGGGCTACACTAAGCGATAAAAACTTTAACAGCCGGGCTATAGTTCCTGTCGCCGGGCTTTACACTTTATCGCATGGCTGTTGCTTTTTCGCCATCGGCTATAAAAGGCAATAAGAAATTGTGTAGAAATTCGTAAGCTTTGTGAATCCTTGAGTTTGTATGGAATCAACATAATATTTACAAAACGCACATTATATTTTCCTTTACTATACATATTTGTTTTCATCAATTAAAATGAGAATAATCCATACAGAGTGTGCAAACATTTCAAAGTCATGAGTTGAACAACGCTGACTCCACGAGATTAAATATTAGAGCCTAACACAGAGCGGAGCGGCGACGCATCGGCGCCTACGAACCTAACAGGGATATTTCACGCATTGCGCAACGCGTGAAGTATCCCTGTTAGGTTTGTAGGCGCCAATGCGCGTTTCGGGCTGGCTGCCCGCCTACCGCGCCGCAGCGTGCCACGGCGCTTGAAGCAACTATTTCACATCAGAGGTTTTGCACAGTATCGTACGAAATTGAAAGTGCTCCAACATATTAGGAATGGTAGGCATCCTTCAAAAGTACGGAGCTTTCCTCACAAAATAAATCAAGATACTACGGCCCATAAAGAGAGCGGTGGTCCAAAAACTCACTAAATCCTAGCATCCGTAATTAGTAACGTTTAGCATACACTTTATCGTCAGGCTGTTGCTTAATCGCCATCGGCTATACAAGGCTATAAGAAATTGAGTTGCCGGCTGTAGAAGATATTGGAAATCTTACAGTCGGCTGTAGGTCTATGGTATTTTGGAACACAGATTCTACTGCCAATTTTTACCAGGGATCTCTTTTAAAAAATTCAAAAGGAGCGGAACTTTTGAAACACCGCACTTGAAATACGAAGTTTCGCACTTTAGCCAAATATTTAAAATGGCACGAAGAATATTCACAAAAAATATCAGAACGAAAACAAGCATTGATGAAAAAACATTTTCAAAAGAGATTGTGATACCATGAATATACGTCGTGGTAAAACATACTCAAAAACCGAGAGTAAAAGCTAAACTAATGGAGGGAGACATGGCTACGCCTCTTTAGTTATGAGACAGTAGGCGCTTCACGATATAGATAATGACTGACCAAGAGGATTGAAAAATATCCAAAACAGCAAATTAAAATCCCGAAATTCCACTATATGATTTTATTCACATGATTCACTCTTATCAGGACTCTCAGGCAAAGAAGAACATATATTAGATGAATAAGCGAAATCCTAATGAGCAACATACATTTAGAGGACTAAGAATCGAGGACAAACGAAGTCACTCCCTATACTTTGAATGTGATGAATTTGACACATTTAGCAGAATTTTGAGTGTTTAAATTGTTAACTTGACTTCATTTGAACCTGTAGCTCTAGCAGTAAATTCTTTCATACAGGTATTTCGTGAGAGACTTGGGTGAATAATTTGATATTCAAAACCGTTCGAATAGAGACCGATCAAGTATTACGCTATATTTATTGCGGATCTCTCAGGGTACATCCATCGATCAGGATCGTATACCTTCGCTTTTTGCATCTCAGCAAGTATCAACGTCATCAAGCCTTGATGACCAACGTATGTGAAAGACTTTGCCCCGTGCTTTTCGTTCACCTTGACGGTGCCGTCGTATATATAATTCACAGCATCCTGTATATTGTTAAATTTTTTAAAATGATTAAAGATTTCGATATCCAATTCGTGGTCTTCCAGAAAACGGGAGAATCCCTCCGTTGCTTCGCATTTACAATATGGAGGTATGCGTTTGTGCCCGTTGACCAAACTTGAATGATAATCCTTGTTTGCTTGGGTCCCCTCGACTTCTATCCCTTTGGTAACAGGAATGACCGTACCCTCGGAAAATCTCAGAACCTTGTCCGCTGAAAACGATTCGAAGACGAAACCGAAAAGACTAGCACAGTGCTGGATGCACGAAACAGGAGGGTGCTTTGATCCTGCAAAAAAAGGAAAAACAAGCTGGTAAATGGCGAAAAAGCGAGGTGTTGGAAGAGTGCGTCATAAGCATATATCTGCATAGTCACATTCAGGCTTATCCTGGGTTTTACTCACTGGACGAATCGTAGAAACGCCTTAAAATAATTGTGAGTTATATTCATCCCGCCAATAACATTTTAATGTAAATATGAGCTGCCAAGCTAGAAATATAACGTTCGTCGCCTAAAATAACATGATATCCCAAATAAAAGACGCCGAGTAAAATTTATTGACAATAATTTAAAGTTTCTCCTCCCTTCAACATTACTATCGGGAAAACGCAAGATATAGACAACATTTTTTTTAAAAAAATCGATTAAAATTTATCGATATTTTTCGTAGTTCAAAGCAACTCCTGCCATCACAGCTTGCGTTTGGTTGATTTACGGTCAGCCGCAAATAAAGTGAACATTAATCTGACCCAATGAGAGAGTTTAAGCACAACTTGTAGGCTACTCGAGACAACGGGACCAAGTTTAACAAAAATAAATATATCAATTTCAGAGGCTAAAATAGCAATTTGGGCCTCATCCACAATCTTGGAATTTGAAAATTTCGGAAGTTGGACTATAATGAGAGTTTCTCGTCGAAAAATATCCTCTGTTACCAAGTTTTACTAAAATCGATGCAATAAGAGCGGAGATACAGGCTGCAGAGATGACGTGTCGCCGTTAAAGAGGAGAAGAACACGGAGAACCTAATGATTAAGGTCTCGAGACGTCATGATTGGTGGGTCGCTGGACACCACTCAGTCGATTCAACGAGCGTTTGTAACAAAGACATAAAGACGGAGTGCTCGTATCTAAAAGCACGGGGAAAAAGTGAAGCTAGGTTCGGCGCTGCGCGTTTGTGTGAGTGTGTAAATGAGCGCGGGAATCCATGGCGGCAAACGGAAATTTGATTTGAACTTGTCCTCTTGATTTTTCCTTATTTCTTCTTCGAAACGTGTTTTAAATGCTTAAAACGATTATATTAAGAAATTTCGGTCTGCGTCCTAATATATTACACCTACTTTTGCTCGGTAACAGGCAGTAATCTCAGATAAAGTTAGTTTTTCTTCTGCTTATGGTGGTTCTGCAGGTTCAAACAGGCCGTTACAGTTCTAGATCTCCGTTACTCCCAAATGAAATCAGTCGGTCGACGACGGACCGAAACTAACCTAAAGTTAATAAAATATGAGTGTGTACCTGAATTTGGGCAAAAATCAACCTAAAATACTTTGTTTCCGCAATTTTATTTATTAGTTCCCGCCCTACATTTGAATTCAAACTTGTCCCGATTTCGCCGCCAATCCTCTAGCCAATAGTAGAGGTGATTGAAAAGAAGCTCTAGAAGCTTCATTTTTTGCTTTTAGTGCTCCGTCTTTATGTCTTTGGTTTGTAACTCGCTGGTGTATCTTGGCCTTCACTGCCACTCATTGTGCCAAAATGACAGCCAATCGGAAACCCTCTTACATGACCTCGCAGCTTGCACGTGTAACCGATAAGAATATTTTCAAACAGCGATCTGCTCTAAGCAAATTGGTAGCTAAGTAAATATTAGAGAGGACATAAAGGGTCATAATAGATTCCTTTGTTCTTGGCATTAATTAAACAATTGTTACCAGCACTCGAAACGGTCTCCACGTTTAATTATCACGATGAGAAAATACAACTACGTTCCCACCACGGAGAGGCTTTAAAAATAAACCAGGATGCAATGGGGCTAGCCTCTAGATCTACCGGCCGCCTTGCGGCGTATTCCAATGATACGCTTTAGTATAGCGCGCTCAATAAATGCAGGGTATTATGAATAGAGGTTTATGTGAGTTTCGAAGCAATACGGTTTTACAGCTGTAACGACTGAAGATCCTCTCCTAATTTATAAAATTTGAATTGAATTTGTTATTTCTCAGTGCTGGAGTTCACAGTCTACTTTTGATTAAGCTTCCGAATGATTGTTCAACTTGAAACGCGGTTTACATGGAATCGCAAATACCCTCCAAATGTCCGCAGAGGTGCTTTCCTAAAAGTTCCTCTTTTTCGCGAGCTCGGAAGTTCATTGAAATGCAACTAGAACAAAGCCTCGCGATGGAATTAGCCTCTATTATGATTTTTAGGTTGAATCTAAAGTTGAGTTTAGCGATACAGTGATACTTAGTTCACATATTTTTCATGTAAATAGGCATTTTTTACGTTAAAAATGTAAACTTGGCAACGGTGTGGCAAAAACACCTGTTTTGTAGGTACTCCAGCGAAATCTTTCGTCGACGCTATAGTCTCATAATCAGCTTTTATTTCAGCTTTAAGTCGGTGCAATACCCAGGTTCCCAGAATAGAGACAAATAAAAACCCAGAATTTAGGAGATGCTTAGATATTACCTGTAAGAAAAGTAGCCAACAGGTCAATTTTATAGGTACAAATAGAACTATGCTATTGGTGGGCTGCCAATTTTGTCACGCGTTCAACTCAAAAGCACTGTAATCAGAATGCCTAGTCACCCTGGTAAAAATTAGCGATAAGAGCTGCGTTTCAAAATACCATAGGAATTCTTATAGCCGGCTAAAAAAGGCTACAGAAAATCATATAATTGGCTGTAGAATGCGGAGAAAATCATACGGTCGGGCTATACGAAGCGATATAAAATTATGCAGCCGGGCTATAGTTCCTATCGCCGGGCTTTACTTTTTATCGCCGGGCTTTACACTTTATCGCCTGGCTGTTGCTTTTTCACCATCGATTATAAAATGCTATAAGAAATTGTGTAGAAATTCGTGTGCTTTGGAAATCATTAAGTTTGATACGGGACCACCTTAATATTTACAAAACACACATTATACTTTCCTTTATTACATATTTTTTTTCATCAATTAAAATGAGAATAATCCATACAAGATGTGCAAACATTTCAAAATCATGAGTTGAATAACACTGACTCCGCCAGATTAAATATTAGAGCCTAACACAAAGCGGAGCGGCGACGCATTGGCGCCTACAAACCTAACAGGGATACTTTACGCATTGCGCAACGCGTGAAGTATCCCTGTTAGGTTTGTAGGCGCCAATGAGCGTTTCAGGCTGGCTGCCCGCCTGCCGCGCCGCAGCGTGCCACGGCGCTTGAAGCAACTATTTTACACCAG